TAAGACATATGTACTTGAACAGTCTTAATTTAAGAATCAACTATAAATATTGGCCTCAATCTCTTATATTTTTAAACACTGATATGTTAAAACTGCCATCTCGATCGAAATATATTGAAGGTTTTTATAAGTTATTAGAAATAAATTAGAAATCAGAAGCTAGAAATTGACAAATCATAGTCGATTATTCTTCTTATATTCGATTGTGATTGGTTAATTTCTAACTTTTGATTTCTGATTTATTACTTATTGTATAGAAAATCTATTACATTTAAAGACTACAAAAGTCTACTCCGGCTTATGTCTTTTTATATATTTTTAAAAAATATGTTTAAAATTATAACTATTTGAAAAGACTAGTTAAGATGAGAATAATTTCAAAAATTTATTTATGTAATATATGCTTGTTAATAGTAATACATATTTTTTTAAAAGAATAATATTAATCGTTCCTGTTTAATTAAAGGATAATTTTACAAGCGGTATACGACTACTACAATAATGTAAAATTTATTGCAATAACAATTATTGCTTTAAAGTACTTTTTTATGCTGATGCTCGACGCTCATTTTTAGTGTCAAAACAGATCACGTGATAAAAATTGACGAATATCAAGCGTCAATTTTTATTACATAATCTATTTTGCCATTAAAAATGAGTGTCGAGCATCAGCATGAAAAAGCACCTTTATGTTAGAAACGACATTTAGCTGGAACATGGCCCTCGATTCAAAATGGCCGGCGGTGGTCATCATTTGGGCCTCCTTTTGCGGTACAGACATAACATAAACAATCGATATTTCGATCGTTCAAGCATTCGGAATAGCGTGACAAATACGAGTGATCGGAATTATTATTTAAGAAATGATTATTGGCATCGTGATTGAGTCGTCCACGTATTGCGCGAACATCTCAAACGTTCAAGCAGTACATACATCTTTCGTAACAATGCATTGCTCTTATCCATATCACAGAGTTGCAAAATTGCTCGCTGCAATTTTCTTCAGCAGCCTGTCGTTCACTTGCCGATGGCCGATTTAGCAGCGACAGACGTCGATTGTATCAGCTAGGAAAGCTTTAAATCACATCTACGTGTTTCATTTACATACATTTTTCATCTAACAGCTAAATTCGTCGAAAAGAGATAATAGCAGTGTTTACTATAAATTTAAATTAAATAAAAAATTTAAATAAATTTTCTGCTGACAGAGAACGCCAACAGAAATATAAATTTGCCAATAAAACGTGATGGCAGATTGATTGTAAAAATTGGATACAATCTAGCTGCCGCTCCATTTAAAAATAAATAACATTTTATGATTACGAAATAATAGATTACATTCAGTTCTTACTGACAATCAGCTGTCAATTATATCAAGAACTGCCAAATATATTGGAAGCTATTAAATATATTGAGAGTTGCTGATAAAATACTTAGGCGGAATTATTCCAACTTTGATAAATCTAATCAAATCTTTAATTGCTTTCATTTTCTCTCTCTCTCTCTCTTTCATTCTCTTTTTTATCCATTAAATAATTTATCACATGATTTATTCGAAATTGGAACAGGCCTTTAATACAGACACATTTGATGTCAATACATTGCAATGTTCTACTAATCTGCATGCTTGTTAGATTACGTCGATAGATTTTACTGACGGAACGTATATGCTTATTAATGCCAATGCAATTGATTCCAATCCGCTATTATTCTAGTTGAATCTGCTGGCAAACTTAACAATCTTGATGGTAGGCAATACGATCACGGATGTGAACATCAAATAAAAAATAAAGTTAGCAGCCTGAGTTCCGGTTCCACTAATGTAAGATTAATTTAATCTTACATTAGAGTGGAATCGGAATCTTAGTTCAATTTATTCCTTATCTTTTTCTATTTCTAAGAAAAACAGAAAAAGAGTAAGTTAAACCCAGATTAAAGTAACTTAATTTACATTATTCGTGATTGTGTTACCTACCATTACTGTTAAAGGAACTTCGAGATGTTGTAAGATTTCCTTCATGAAAATTTATATTTATCATAAAATAGAATTCTTCAAGTTACGAGTAACATTATACTTCTTTTGTCTTCTGATTACATATCCTTCATCTTATCTTACTGTTACTTGCGAATTGATTAACGATTAAATATCAAACTTTAAAATTGGCTATTGAATCTCTCTACAAGGAGCAGGAATCTCTTTATATAATAAAACAAAAACTATTTGATATATACTCACGCGTTAACGAACATTGCAATCTACCAAGTTGCAATATATAAAATTTTCTTTTGCACTTTATTTGACGTATTCAGTTTTCAAAATTCTTCCACTTTAATTGCGTAAAATAGAAGCTATTATATTTTGTTTATATCTTTGACACATAAAGATGCTGATTCATTAATAATAACAGAAAATGTTTCGAAATTGCAAAATTGTAAAAAAAATGAAATGGCAAAATTGTATAATTCTTTTAGTTTCTCAACAAGTTTCCAGAATATTACGCTAACGTTTTAAAAATAAAGATTCATTTTTGTTTTGAGGGGGAGGGGATTTTCCTAATAAAAAATAAGGAATTCCTTTAACATTCATTAACGAAATTATTGATACATCTGTAAAGACTTCTTTTAAACAAATCGATTACATCAATTGTAATACAAAAAATGGTATAAAAATAAATACACAATTTATTTCTTTTGTTAACTCTAACAAAGAAACAAGATTACATACCCATATATAATATATACCTATAATTTCTTCAAAGAAGCGGAAAGACCATAAATATATGTAAAAATTTGAAGAACGTTCGAAACGTGTGTTCCTAAGTAGAATAAATATATATTTGTGGTAACTGATTTAAAATTAAAGACATGAAAAGACTTGATTTATGAAATTTTGTTTGAATAAATAAATATATAGTTAAAGTATGGAAAATTGAAAGTTCAAAAAAAAAAGTGGATTTTGAGCAGAAAATATTAATTCTCAATCAATGAGTGGTTACTGCGTGAATTTTGACAAAAACAAAATTTCATAAAACGAGGCCTCGATAAATGTACGTAAAAAGGCTGATCGTGAATCTTTGATCGGACGATGCAGTAAATATAATAAGTGTATCAAAGTTTTAATAAAATTTTGTCCGTATTACATATATGGTCGTCTTAATGAGAATTCTTCATGATATCATTTTCTACTATTGCAATAGGCAGCAAAGACACCATAGGGCTATTGCTCTTGACACATACATAAATTATGGACGAAGTCTGTAATTAATAGCGAATTCGGTCACTTGCATTACACTAGATTAGTGCATACTAAAAGCTGCTATATCTACATGCGGTAAAGTTAAAAGGTAAATGTTAAAAGCATATGAATATTTTAAACAATTAAATGGCTCATAATAATATTATCACATTAAATAGTCAATAATGACATTGTCATATTATTTAATAGAGTATATATGTATTATTTCATTGTTAAAATTGATTATATCGTGCCACTGCATTTAGATACCTTAAAGCAGCTTTAATGTGTACTGATTAGAGTAGTGTGAGTGACTGAATTCACTATAAAATAAAATTTACATTCTATATAAAATGCATGACACATTCTTTTACTAATAAAGTAAAAGTTTATAAACAAAAATAATATTAAATTATGATATCAAATATATAAATAATAATCTAAACAATTATCTGTTCGTGTGTTCTTAACATCTTGCTTTCATTATTTATTTTAATGTTTCACGCAGAGAAATGTATAATATATTAAATACAATATATTAAATATTAAATACAATATATACACATTAACATGAATGTATAATATATATTTTTAATTTTAAATACAATTAAATGTATAATACATTAAAAATTCAAAATAATTCACGCGCGTTAAAAGAGAAGAAATTTTAAATAATTCTGAAAGTTGATAGTTAAATATATATGATATATCCAAAATTAATTTTTAAAAAGGCTATGACAGTGCTATTAGCAAAACATGTATCGCATTGTGAAATTTCAACGAAGAAATGTGATACAATACTGCGTGTTAAGCGTTATGAATAATATAATATAATATATATTCGATATAAGTATGGAAATGTCGATTTTATCGCAGAATTTCCTCGATAAATGTCTCTGTCCTGCATAATCTGTAATTTAGAAAATTCCTACGATCATTAGCTCGGCTGAAGGTTAATACTCAGTTGACCATAAGAAAGTTCAACGATCTTATTATTTTCACAACCGTGTGAAAGCGACACGGTATGTTTTGTATCCGTATATATAAAAGTTATACAATTATTAACAGTCAACATTCATTATACAATTCAATGCATCACAGGAAAGTCTATATCGGGAAACATATTTCTTTAAATATTTTTTTATATGCATAACAACTTTGTTATTGATATAATTTATGAAAACACGGGCGTGTA